AGTATGCACCTCAAGGCAGTATAGTGCATGACGCTGCCATAGTCATAAGTTATATCGTAATTATAGTTTGTCTCAGGGGTTTTCAAAAAGTACTCACTGTGCCAACCACGCTGTAACACATGCGATACTTATTTGTTGTCAAACGAGAACTTACTCTGATGTTGTGTTCGTTAAGTATTATGAAATAATCACGATCATGTCTTGAATGCGTGTGGAACATTCCGAGTGCATGTCCCAACTCATGAGAGGCAGCTGCTATCTGTAGTACAAGGTTGCGCACCACGAACATCCACTACCATAACTTTGCTTGAGCACCATCGAACATATCCTTGGCAGAGGAAGATCAACAAATTGCAAGTTCTTTGGAGCGAAAAAAATATTTCCGGTGCGGCTAGATACTTATTCTGATGCTGCCTTTAACAGCTCCAGAAAGAATTTAGGTGGAGGCCCTGAGCGCTGCATTGCAGAGGTCCTACTTAAAGGCGTCCATCTTTGTTGAGCAACCGTGGAAATTGTTTCAATTGCATATTGCTTACAGAAAATCCAAAAGTGCAGTGGGGTACAGGATATATTTTCGGGAGAGGAGGGGAGAAGTCGTGCGCAGTGTCACCCACGCACTCAAAGAACTTTTTCGGATGTTGCAAACTTTTGCGTGCTCATGACCTACGCCCCCGAAAAGAATTTTAAAACATAAGATTTTGCACATTTCAAAGTTATTTTGATTATTTCCAAGTAAAGACAATCCACTTGCACAATCCGTACTCATGTAAGAACTTTCGATTTTTCATGGGGCGGAGGGCCACCCTCGTCTCGATCCACCGTTGGAAATACATTAAGCATAGATAAGCCGTCTGTATAGAAACACCGAATGCTTAGTCCCTGGATAGCTACCCTCAACCTCATAATCTTCCTACAATTGAACGTCCGTAACAGCTCACCAGATTCGTTCTGCAGCTGTGAAAGGCAGTTTCGAATTAATGTCGGGGTGACAATTACTCTTGTGAAAAGCCCAGCGCAGCTTATTGACTTAATAATTAAAGCAATCGCCTGCCATGCAATACTCAAAGATCCCTCACCGATTCACATCCATCACCTAATGATAGTTCCTGAACTTTATGAACATTGCCTACATGTGACCAACAACCATCCTCCACCATGACTTCGATTCGCTCCTCCTCTGTAAGCATTTGCATTGGTACAAGGTAATGCTACCGAAATACGTGTACCATCACTCTCATAAAAATCGATGCAAGTGTTCTTTGACCATGCCTTTATTGCCTTCCTGAACACGCTTCGCACTTTTGCAGCTAAACGAACGTCAGACTTTTCGCACAGCTTTCGTAGTTAGGACACTCACTTGCATTATCGTGGAATGAATAATGAACACCTTCTTGCCAAATAGTATAAGGATAGTTGCTGTCACGGAATGCTTGGCGCCTCCTACGAGCATCAACATCTTGGAGTAACTCCTCTGCTTGTGCACTTGAATATGGCCGCATCTCTTGAGCAATTTAGAGCAAAGAAGTACTTACATGGTCAGCACCATGTCCCTTTCATACAGGAAATCTCCTATTCTGGACCTGCTATTCACATCCTCAATAGAGTTACCCAATTTACGGTCTTTCTTTGGAGCTTTCAGCTTCTCAAATAATCAAAAACTACATGCATCGTGCCTTTTTGAAGCTACCGTACCCTCATTGCTGCAGCTAAGGTTGCTTTTCTTTTTGGAGTCGCGAGCTTAGTGGCTACTCTGTTCTTGAGGGAATCAAACCTCTCTCGTATGTAAAGAAGTTTAGCTTTGTTCAACGTCTAAAGCTGCATTAAGAGAACCAATGTCATCATTTCTACCTTACCGTTTTTATCCTGCTCAGTTTTCTCATTGCTTCTTTGCGCTTTGAAATTGCTAGGCCCGCATCAGCATATGCAAGCAATACGAGAAAAAGAAGAGTTTTCATACTAACAAGGTCAAAGGAAGGTACGAAGGAAATTGCTTGGTACAAGTAAGTACACAAGGCACGGCATTTTATATCTCATGAAATTGCACCTTCAGGCTGGCATGTTGATTTTGAGGCAGATGTGAATATCGCAGAACACCGTTAGCAGATCGTGCACCTTCCAGGAAATTTTGCAAAA